CTCCCCTAACTTCCCTCGCAGGAATGCTGAGACTCCTGGGAGTCCTTCCTAGTGATGCAATGCTGTAATCATTTGGTTTTACCATCATGAAAATTACTGGTAAATTCACATTTGCTACAAAAACCTCAAGATGACCCATGATGGGGCTTCACAGAAAGATTCAGTAGTTTGTTCATATAGGTATATCAGATTTAAAAGATAAAAAAAAAAAATGAAGAAATCAGTTTAGTGTCAAATAAATCTGCCTTGTTTAATCTGAAAATCTTTGCTTAACTGACATTTGTTTTCTTGTTTTGTTTCTGTAGTTACAATCATTGGAGGAATTGTTTTTCTGGCATTTGCCTTGTCTGCCCTGTTCATCACACCAGAAACTGGACCTTAAATTGGAGAAAAGACTTTCAGGTTCACTCTGTAAATACTCGTAACATTTGATCAAGTTGCTGTAGATGCATTTTAGTTTCGACCCTCTTAGTCTAAAGGACTCAACAAAGAGTTGGAGTCCTGTCTTCCTTTCCTTGAACGTCTCTGTTCCTTTGTGATCTGTGAATCAGTTGGATTTCTCAGAGGTTAATTAACAACCTGTAGGTGGCATCCAAACCTCATGGGAAATGTGTTTGTTGACTGCTTACAAGGTGTGTTTCATCTTCATCTCGTCTAGTGAAGGAAAGACTGAATCACAGAGGCCTGATTAACAGGTGCGAGCTTAGAAAGGAGGGAGGACTTTGTCACACTCTTTAAAACTTGTATTCTTTTCACACGGTGTGTGAGAGAAAACTAGATTGTTGCAGATTGCTGCCCTATAACGTTCTACAGGTGGCTCAGAAACTGAAGCCAACTTTCCTCATCGTAATATCTCAGCAAAGGAACTTAGTCCATTTAAAAAATCTTTTCCGTTTTTAATGTCTATTTTAAATGTTAAGAATGAGCCCCTTTGCTGTCAGGTGACTTTTGGCAGAATATGAGCCGCCAGTTTCCTCCCAAGTACAGCAGTTGAGGCTGGTGTTACTGTTGTTTCCACTATCTGTTATTAGCTTCTTCGTTTTTTTAAACGCACACCTTACAGAGGTGCATGTGACAGTGCATTCAGATTCTCTGTCAGATTGGACCAGTGTGCAAATGGCACAGCTAACATCACACTATCCAGATAGCTCCCCTGTGGTTACCACACAGATTACTTCCAACGGTGTGAGCATGTCTCGAGTACTATTTACTGCTGCTACATGTCAGATGTGGGACAGCTGTAGAGCATATCCCCGTCTGGTGTTCTGCGGATTGTGACAGAGCTTGTTTACTTCAGAGGGAAAAACACCAAAACCAGAACAAGCTGCACATTTATAGCAACAGTTTCTGTGATCTGACTTACACTAAGATTTTTTTTTTTTTCTTTTGTAAATACAAGATTTTTTTTTTCCTCTAGTTTCACATAAGAGCAGTCCTTTACAGAGACCTGAACCACTAGAATACCTCTACTTACCTGTATTTGAATGTCAGCATACTGGGTTTATCTACAGTTCACGTGAACCTCTTCAGAAATGATAATTGTATTTACTCATAATGGTATCAGACGGTAACGGTGAACAAGGCGTGGGATTAGGTTGAAGAAAGGGCCAGGAGTCACCCTGACAGGTTCAGTCTTCCTCTGCGATTAAAGCCATTTCCAGCATGAACCTCAGTTACTGAGACAGATTGTAAAGAGGACTACATCAGGTACAAAAATTATTTATCCTACACAAGACTTGCAGTAGAAGCCACTTCTCTTAGGTGTGTTGGATCTGCGGTGACAGCTCGACCCAACTTAATTTAGACCTAAATTTCACCCTTCATTTTTAAATGGTACGTATTTATTTAGCTTCCTTTTCTTTTTCCTTTCTAGGCATATGTATTGACAAAGGGTGGATGATATTACTGTACAAGCAATGGAAATATTTTTTTAAGTGAACAGGCTAAAGCTGTGTTGTCAATATTTGACAGGCTGTGAACTACTTCTGTTTGTAATACAGGTTCTTTGAAATGCCTATAAGTCTTTAAAAAAAAAAAGATCAATAAAAGTTTCATGTGTTGTCTGATTTCTAAACTAACATTTAGTGCCGTGTTTGAGTTGAGTGGTGAGGAGGAATACAGAGTCAATTATAGGAACAGCACCAAAGATGATTCACACAGATTTATTTTTGAATCCAAGGGGAGCAAAAGATTGACATATTTGCCTCATAAGGGAAGGGTTATGTTGAGGTCCATGAATAATTTGGCTCAAGAAATTAATGCAAGTCACCTTAAAGGATACCCATTACACTTTTCATCATATTACTGTCATCTATTTACTGATACAGTGACTAAAGCTCATTTTAGAGTATTTTTTCCACTTTGCTCTGTATATGGAAGTTTATTTCAGACACTGCATGGGTGGAAAAATGACATCCATAAGTCAAACTTTGGGGTTTGGTTTTGTTGATTCATTTAATATGCCATCAACCTGGCAGGGACTACAGATGAAAATTAATCCATCTGGCTATTTACAAGATTAATTTTAGTGCTCATGTTAATTAATATGCATTGTCCCTTTGAAATAAACATACATATACCAACTTAATGATTTATGGATGGCAAAAAAAAAATTTTTTTTCAGTGGTTGAAACAAGTTTTCATGCCTTTATGTCGTCAGTGAGAATAAGTATTAATCATTCTTAACACGTCACATCTCACGCTGTTCAAACTTTGTTTGCTAAGGGCAGCAAATCAGAAAAGCAGAGGGATGAGCGCTACAATGAGTGGTTTCAGACAGTGGATGTACTGAGGGGTTGCACCAACATCCAGTATGAAATGTAAACGGATTATTTTGAACTTTGAGTCATGCAAAGCTACGGTAATGTTGTTAAAGAATTTACCAAAAAACAATGAAGCTGGAAATCAGCACAATAGGTCATCTTTAAGTGTCTTTATAACACTGGAGTGCAATAAAATGCTAATGTGTACAATTTCTAAATGTTGGATATAATCAGTAATTTAAGTTGAGCTGAGGTGTTTAACCTAATAACAAACAGCAGGTGTCAGTAGTGGATGCTTAGTGCAACATTTCCCAGTTGTGCTTCATAGAAGAACAAACTGGAAGCCTTAGCATTCACTACAAACTCTTAAAGCTTTTTAGAAAGAAAACTGGAATAGGTTCTATTATGTGGTTATAAAGTTGTAATAGATGCATTTTTTGATGATTAAGAGATTAACTGCTCTGAATTGAGTTGATTGTTTTAGAGTTAGATATTAGTTTTGCCAATTTGTAATTTAAATATTCTGCTTGAAGTAAATAATCCATGCATATGTGTTTTTCAGCTTCACATAACGATTAAATATATTAATTCATATCTGCACATTTTTCTAGAACCACGTGATCAGACTTGCCTATAATGTAGTGAGAGAGGTTTATTAACAACTCAAAAAGACATGACTTAAAACTCTTTACAAAGGGTGTATTTTTTTATCTCAAATGTAACCAAAGATTTCAATTCATACTCAGATGTGTTACCAAAGTTAAATCAGAAGTTGGATCTTCTGGTCAAACCTGAACTACTGACGTCATTACAGGAGTTCAAAAGTCCTGCTCCCGTCATCAATCAGGGTGTGACCACATTGTGTGGGATGTAGTCATGAAAGATTTAATGTTGTTTTTTGCTATTGAGCGCATTGCAGCAGTTAATTACTTGAGCCAAACCACAAAAAAAAAGCCACAAAAATATGAACTGAAAGCAGAGAGAGAGAGAGAGAGAACACCGAGTTTCTAGTGTGTACATCAGAACTACACAACACTGAACATAATTCACTGTGTTCTTTGATTTAGGGTTTGTGTCCTAAGGTTTCCCTGGACAACCTTTCCCCCACTTGTTTTTGAGACTTGCCAGTGAC